TAAATTAAGCTACTTTTGTTTCATCATGTGAATGAATATGTTGTATGTATTTTGGTTGCTTATTTTCCTTCACATTTTGTGTACATGTGCATTTTTACATGTTTCATTTCACTGAAATTTTGTCATTGATTACTGTAATAACTTGAATGCAAAATACCTTGTGGTTTGGTACTGGGATCAGTTTCTGCTGGCTGACATTCTTCAGCGGCTGAGGGGCTGTCATCATTGTGATGTAACTTGTTGTAAACTAGTTGCCCACTCTTACTTCTCAGCTGGTATAGAGGCAGTTCTTCAAGTTTCTCAGAACATTGTTTCCAAGCAGTCTCCAAGCTGGTTTGAATGGCTTTGACTGAACTAGACCTGAAATGAAAGACACGAGGACCCTCTGGGTGATGTGTAGCTTCACTAGGACCATAGTGGAACTCTACGGAACCATCATCTTTCCAGTGCCACCAAACCCCTGGTCCTGGAAGTTGGAAATCACCTATTACCTCCAGCTGAGCCTGCCATAATCTTGCCTTCTTTGTTAACAGGTCTTTGCTTACTGTTGTGTTGGCTCTAGCAGGTAACTTCTTTGCCAACTTTGTTATTTCCCGTTCTTGAATGCTGACTGTATTTTCTTCTGCAGTGATATCTTCTCCCATTATGTGAAGAAATGCATTCGGCACCAAATCGTCTGCATGTTTGCTCCATGTCTTTCTTGTTATGTCTACAATTCTGTCAAAAAATCTTTCAAATAACTCGGCATTGATGGATGAAAGACACACCAGCCTGCAGATGACAGATGCATGATCCACAGCACTGTGATAGTAGATACCATACAATTTACGAATGGTCATGGTCTTGGGTGGGGTTAGTATGGCCCTCATTGCCAGTGCATGTTTGAATGAAAGGTTTGCAAGTCGCAAGATCTGCTTTGGGCATCTGGTGTCTTCTTTGGCGTACAATATTCCCATCATTTCAGCAAGTGTTGTCAGTAAATCCATCACACTGTTGTCTGCTTTTCCAGTTAAGAGAATGGTTACCTGCAGAAGTGCTGCA